AGAATACAATGCTGATAAGCCAAAGTTAAGTCTCCTATTAAGTAGTCCAGAGGGATAGAAATATTAGAATACTTAGCCAAGAACCAGAAGCCACCCTATACCTGACCAGAAAAACTATATTAACTTTATCCAAACTACCCTTCTCGAACATAATGTTATTTCTGCATTTCCACATAGTCCACAAAACAACACCCAGCAAAAATTTCCAAATTTCCGAATGAGGAACTAAATCCAACCAGAACAACAGAAAACTTCTGGGAGTATTAGGTAAAACAAAATATAAATTCCACATTTAAAGAAACCTCACCCAAATCCCCCATACAACATTACATTCAAAGAACAAATGGCTCACCGACTCAGTATCCTCACCACAAACCGAACAGGAAGAATCATCAATACCTCTAACACCCCGCCTCAATAAACCAGTTTTAACTGCCAATTTCTGGTGGAGAACCTGCCAAATAAACACCTCTATTTTTGGAGGTATTAAACCAGTTCAAATTAACTTAGACCAACACAACTCCGGAGTAGACAAGGTGGAGATTAAATTAGTACAAGATTTAACCGAATAAATTTCTATTCCAACTTTCGCATGCCCCCATTATGTCCGACTCGTAGTTATTCCTAATTACCGATTTCCAAGACACATTAGATACATATCAATGGCTTTCTGATCCTCCAAATATATAAAATCCTATCAGATACGTCCCTCCAAATATGTAGATATCAATGGATTTTGGTAGAAGATGATATGCATACAGAGAATACGTATATAAGAATCAATAGTTCATAATTTTAGATGTGAAGGGGGTTTTTGTCTTTTCATGCTGTTGTGCATTTGATGTGTGAAAAATAGGGACTGGGGAAGGATGGAAGTGGAATGACAGAACCAGTGGAAGCACAGGCTATGGATGGAAGAGCAGGGCTTGGAAGTCGGGTGAAGTTGGACCCGAGCCTCGAGGTGCAAGCCGGCGATAGTTACAAAACTGTGATTCATAAGAAAGCAGTTGCTAGGTTCCGCCAAATGCCCTAGGTATGTTCTGAGAGACTAGGCTCAAAAGATGTTTGTCAACATGTTTTTGATAATTAATGAGAATCCTTAGGTGGTTTGAGTTTTTAGATCCGATATCTCCTTTAGTTGTTCCAAATCTCAATGAATGGAGCTGTTTGCAATGCATTTATACCTTATCAAGGCCTCCACAAAACAAGTACACTGCATGCATGCATATATATATATATATAGAGAGAGAGAACCTTAGGCACAAAATATTTAAGAAGGCTTGGTGTAGTGATAATATACACTATACTTTGAGAGAATTTGAGTTCAAATCTCGCATGAATCAAATGATCTCAATGGTTAAAGGATTTGTTGTTATCCTTTAAGATATCGGATTCGAGCATCACGTAGGTTTGGGCACTCATTGTCAAATGGTTGAGAGTATTTGAACATATATCATTTTGCTTTTTAAATCTTGATTAGTAACGAAGTGTTCTTTCAAATGTATTTTTTAAAATAAATAATATAAAATATCTTTGTTTGTACTTTTCACCCAGATATTTTTAATTTTGATAACGAAATGAATAATAATCTATTATAATAATTTAATTTTGATTAAATATTAAAGATTTTGAAAAGTTGTTTCCTTATAAAGTAAATCTAAATTGATCCTTTTAGTTTTATTAATTTTGTTTTTAACAGACATCGATTGTTACAAATGTATCAGGTGTTTCGATCAACTTTTGACGTTCACCGTAATATCGACATTAGACCAGAAAATATTCCCCTTTTCTTACCGATTTTTGACTTGTTACGGTATTAATGTGATACTTAACGTTATTGATGTGACACTGACAGTTCACTATATTACTATGATAGTTCATGATATTAATATGATAATTCATGTGTGAATAATAACATAGTGGAAGTTAAATTAATTTTCATAATTAATTTATTTTTTTAACAAATTTGAGAACAGTTGATTTTAATTAAAAATTTAAAAATATTAGAAAATATAAAAAGTAAATAAAAAAAGTTATTAACAATTAATTGGTTTAGTGAGATGATACATTAGATTCCTTAAGCAATATCAAAGTTTGAATCTTGTCGTTTGTTAATAGAGCAAATTGGGTTGGGATGGTCGCCCTCGCCTATGTATACTCGATCTGGATTAGTCGGTCAATAGATCAGACAACATAGATTAATTAAAAATAAATAAATTTAAAAATTTAAAATACTAAAAATTATAAAAAGATAAATTAGGTTATAGTTCTTCATTCTGAGTGCATTTTGGCACCATTTTGTGATGTTAAAAGGATATTAATTGTGTACGAATCAAACAATTTTAATGATTAAAAAATATATTATTATCTTTCAGGATTCTGAGTTTGAAATTCACCTATACAAGAATACGAGCGTTCATACATATACACTTATTGTTGACCTCATTAGTGTTATTATTCAGGATTAATTTTATGTTAACGAACCAATTTATAAAATTTTAAAAACAATAAAAGTATATTATTAATAAAATTTAAAACATTTATAATTCAAAATAGAATTTTAATAAGTTTTATCTAATATTTTATATATTTTTATAAAGTGTATTGTTTTCTAAAAAAAATATTTTTAATCTTTTTCGTGAGAGTTATCACTTTGTGTTTTTGAAATTGAGACACCTAAAAGTTGCTTATCCTACTTTGTCTATCTGTTTATTGACAAGCAGCCTGCAGGTCGAAAATCACAGAAAGAAGAATTAAAATTCAAAGGAGTGGGCCTCTCTATAGTACTAGGCGTTTTTATATAAAAAAAATCTTAAAAAATCATTTATTTTTATTTTTTTTTTGATTAATATGATATAAGTACATGATAGTATTTGTTTAAATATAACTTTTAACATTTTAACATTGATTATTTACATCCCTGACATCTATGGTGTTTAAATATGGGTACTCAAAGGGTACGATGAATATATGGAATTTGCTTTTCATAGAATTTGAGATTATTAAATGCATTTTGTAGAACGTGAGATTGTTCTACGTGTGTAATTTAAAAGATATTTTTTAATTAATACAATTTATTTTTTAATAAAATGATTAAATATAAAATAAGTGTCTAAATTATACATGTTTTCATTAATAGGTGTCTAAAGTATTTTTTTTGTCCATCCAGGTGCCTAACATTATCAACGTTATCACTTTAGGTGCCCAGGTCGTAACGGCTGTTAAATGAAAATTGTTATCCATTTATTTGCTGACACGTGACCATGATTTGAATTTGGCTTAAGTATAAAATAAGTATCCAAATTATATTTTTTTTTTCCAAATAGTGAATATAGTATATTTCAACCCATCCAGGTAGGTGTGTGCTAAAATACCCGACCCGGTTGACTCGAACCTAAAAAATCGGGCAATTTTCTAAAAATAATTACATGGCTGGGTTGGGCTCGGGTCATAAAATTGAATTTTTCCGAGTACCTAGTTACCCGAGTACCCGATTATGGTTTTTTAGGGTAAACTACCTATTTGGTCACTTATATATTATCTAATTTATGTTTTGGTCACTCGATTATTATTTAGGGTAAACTACCTATTTGGTCACTTATATATTATCTAATATAATTCATATGTATTTTTATTTAGGGTAAACTACCTATTTGGTCACTTATGTATTATCTAATTTTATATTTTGGTCACTTGATTATTTTTTTTTCAAAATTATACATAATGTTACGTTCTGATTCTGTTTTGGTCACCCATATTTAAAAATGAACAATGATGCTAACATGACATTTTTTTAATTATGTTTGGATGTTGGACTATGTAATTTGAAGTTTCAAACATTTAAATTTATATGTGTTTTTTAATTAATAATTTAAAAAAATTCGGGTATCCAAGTACCTTATTACCGAGTATCCGCAACATCCGAGTCGGGACACGGGCCGAGAAATCAATTACCCGAAGACCCAGGTATCCAACACTTCGGGTACCCGGATTTGCACACCCCTACATCTAGGTGCCTAAGTTATAAATGTTACCACTTTAAGTGTCTGGCATTACAAACATTACCACTTAGGTGCATCGGTGTTAAAAACTCTGTTAAATGACACGTGCCACAATATGGTAATTTTAAATTTTTATTTAAATTTTTTTAAATATTTTATTTGCAAAAAACCCATTTTTTAAATACCAAAAAAACCTAAACTCTTAAAATCTCTTATTTTAGTCTCATTTATTCTAACCGCCGGTCATCTCCTGCCCCACATTCGTCGACGACAGACCACCCATACGTCGTCGTCCACCCACTAACCGATTACAACTCTTAATATCATCTCAAAACCTAAAATTTTCAAATCCCTAAAAACCCAAATACCTAATCCCTTCAATTCATTTGATCGATCATGGTAATCAGTTGTTTAATTGACTGTGGAAACCAACCCCTTAGCCATTTTATCGATCAACCATTTGAATTTTGGTCGTTTAGCCATGAAAAATTAAAATGACGAAAGGAGAGGGGATGTAGGGCAGGGAAGGGGAGGAAGAGCAGGGGAGGGGAAGCACACGTTTTTTTAATAATATTTTTATTTTTTTTAAAAAATAAATATTTCAAATTTTTAGGTTTTGTGACTCGTTTCACTCAACAGGATTTTTTTAACGTCCGTTAACACCAAGACACCTATAGTGGTAACGTTTGTAATGTCGGGCACCTAAATTAGTAATGTTTATAACTTAGTCACTTGGATGGACCGAAAAATACTATCGGCACCTATTCGGAAAAAACGGTATAGTTTGGACATTTATTTTATACTTAAGCCAAATTCAAATCATGGTCACGTTTCAGTAAATGGATGGATAATTGTTTTCATTTAACGACTTTCACGGCCTGGGCACTAAAGTGGCAACATTGGTAACGTTAGGAATCCTTTTGGGCCAAAAAAATACTTTAGATGTCTATTTAGAAAAAATGATATAATTCGAGCACTTATTTTATACTCAAGCCTTAATAAAATAATAAAAAAAAGATTTTTCATTTAATTACTAGCACCTAATAATTTATTCCGAAACGGCATGAAGTGCAAGTAAAATAGTAATTTTGAGTTTCAAAGGCGTGACAATGCCATAATCTGTTCATCTGCAATTTCCTTATTGACCTGCGTCGTCGTCTTCTCTGTAACTTGGAAACTTTTGGCCAATGCCCTCAGATGAACTTTCTGTATTTTCCCGGTCGAAGTCCTGGGCAATTGAGACAGAAACTTCACCTTCTTCGGCACCATGAAATGCGGCAAGTTTTCCCGGCAGTAATTTATGATGTCCATTTCCTTAACGTCCTCCGTTTGTCCGCTCGAGTTCTGCCGGACGGAGACGAAGGCGCAGGGGCTCTCCCCCCACCGTGGGTGCGGCATTGCCACGACGGCGGCCTCCAGGACTCTTGGGTGTTTGTAGAGAACAGATTCGAGTTCGACGCTGCTGATGTTTTCGCCGCCGGAGATGATGATGTCCTTCGATCGGTCCTTTATTTCGAGGTATCCGTCGGGGTGTATAACTCCCACATCGCCGGTGAAGAACCAGCCGTCTTTGAAGGCTTTGAAGGTCGCCTCTTCGTCTTTGAGATAGCCTTTCATTATGCTGCTGCCACGCAGAACGATTTCTCCGATGGTTTTTCCGTCGTGCGGGACGCTGGCCATGGTTTCCATGTTCTTCACGTCGACGTCTTCCAGTGTCAGTACGCTGATCCCCTGCCGTGCTTTGAGTTTGGCTTTGCGCTCGTTTGACAGGTGGTTCCATTTGGCTTGCCACTCGCAGACTAACGCCGGCCCGGTGGCTTCCGTCATGCCGTAAGTGTGTGTTATGTGGAATCCGAGGTGTTCCATCTTCTCGAGCAATGACGCCGGTGGTGGCGCTCCGCCGGTTAGGACTTGAACGGTGGAGGAAATCTCACGACGCTCGTCGGGTTTCGCCTCAAGGAGGATGTTGAACACGATTGGCGCGCAACACATGTGGGTCACGTTGTGAGCCGCTATGGCTCGGTAAATGTCGTACGCGGAGGTATTGCGTATGCATACGTTAGTTCCACCTCGGGCAGCGATGCCCCAGGTGAAGGTCCAACCGTTACAATGGAACATGGGGAGCGACCAAAGATACACCGGCTCGTTCCCCATTTCCCATCCTAAAATCGAGCTTAAAGTACTCAAATATGCCCCTCGGTGACTAAAAACAACCCCTTTCGGTTCCGATGTAGTTCCCGACGTGTAATTCAGCGCGATCGGATCCCACTCGTCACCGACTTCAACCGGGACGAATCTCGGATTCCCATTGTGAATCAACTCCTCATACTCCAACTCCCCTAGCCGAACACCGGTAGGAGAGTCCACATCATCTATGACAATCACTAGTGGCATGCTCCATGACCGGCCTTCCTGTGTCGAGTCCACCATCAACATCCGAAGCGCCTCACTAGCCAATTGTAGATACCGATAGTCGACGAAGAAGGCCCTCGCCTCGGAATGACGAAGAATCGTGGCGATGTTCTTAGCATCGAGCCTGGTATTGATCGTGTTGAGAACCGCACCTGCCATGGGGACAGCAAAATGCATCTCGTACATGGCTGGAACATTAGGAGCCAACACGGACACCTACAAAAACATAAAAAAAAACATAAACGAAACGAAAACACCTACCCACGTATACACATAGTACAAATACATGATCTAGTGAAACTTACAACTTGGTTTTTGAGTATGTTAAGAGACCGTAGAGACGAAGCGAGACGACAACAACGCTCGTAGGTTTGACGCCACGTGAACCAAGTGTTCTCGTAGATGACCGAGGCACGATTAGCATAAGATCTACTAGCCCGTTTGAGGAACGTCAAAGGGGTAAGTGGTACATAATTTGAGTTGCATTTCGAGAGTCGGTCCATCGAAATTTCAACAAAAAAAAATGAAAGTTTTTCTTAACGACAAGAAAGCACAAAGAGATCGAATGAAAGAAGAGGAGGATTGAAGTGCTGGGTGCTTAGGGTGAATGGAGAAACGAATATATAGGGGGTGAAGTGGGGGCAAGAGACGCATTGTTTATGGTGTAAGAAAAAACAATTAAAAAGTAATTAAAATAAATAATAATAATAATAATAATAAAAGGGTGTAAATTGCTGGGAAATTGCAAAGAAATATGTGAAAAGTGAATAATGGGAAATTCTTACGTGCGGCATCTTTAATATACGATTAAGAAAATGTGTTATCGGTTTTGTTATTATTTTTAACAAAATCAGTAAAAAATTACATGAAACATTATTATTTTTACCGGTTTTGTTATTATTGGGCGTTTTACCGAGTTTGGTAAAGCGCTACTTAAAATATTATTTTTTCTACCGGTTTTGTTATTATTTACCGGAAATGTTAAAAACATTAATGTTTTAGGCAGAAATAATAATGTTTCCGGTATTTTTTTTACCGAAAATGTTAAAAAATAATAACAAAACCGGTAACCCCTTTCCTTAACCGTATATTAAGACCGCCGCACGGTAGAATTTTCCATGAATAATTCAGCAGAAAAAAAAAGGATTGTTCAGTTGATTAGAACTACCTTTGGATGGTAGTTATGTTGTACGATAGCCTTAATATACGATTAACGAAATGTCTTACCATAAATATTAATAATATTTTTAATATTTTCTTTAAAAGTTTTGAATTTAAGTAGTTACATTTGTATGATATGCGTTGTCGATGACTACGAGATATTATGAACATATATTATCTTGTAATTACCTTAAATTATTTAAAATACAAAAGGTTGTAGACAACTAGGGATGAGCCCACGCCACCCCGACCCGAAAATATATACCTAAAACCCGACTACGTCCCGTCCCAAAAAATCTTAGGTTTTTTCTGTCCTAGACTCATCTCCAATTTGGTCCGAATGTATCTGTTCATGAAAGTCGCATCGAGTTACTTGAATCTTATGTATAGAATCGATTCTAAATCGAAGTTTTATATGTATAAACGATTAAGTCAAAATTCAGTTAACATTATTATATTATTACAATATAACGAGTTTGATTGACATATGTAATCGATTTTATAGGATAAATTATAAATTTCATCACTGAATTTTATTCTCTTTTCTATTTTGCTCACTGAATTTTAAAAGTTTTCAATTTTATTATTGAACTTAATACATTAGATTTTTTTGTCACTGAATTGTACTCTCTCCTATTTTAGTCACTTCGACGTTAAATAGTTAACGACATTAAAAATAGTATCATTAAAAAAAATTCACTAGAACGATGTCGTTTTGCATCTATATAACAACTCATTTTAACGTCAGTTAACTATTTAACAATTGAGTGATAAAAAATCTAATGTATCAAGTTTAGTGAGAAAATTGAAATAATTTAAAGAAACACAAGGTTTAATACAAACCTTGATTTTATATTCTATCCTAATTTTGATTGACAAGTTGAAAAAAATAAAAATTGTAATAAATGGACAAAATACCCCAACCAACCATGTTTTGTCATGTCCTGGTATACTGTATACGACTTTCTTGGAATCAAACGCACTGATATAAAATAATTCAAAAGTGTCGTACGTGAAAATAAATTAAATACTTTGTTATAAAATTTGGTTTACTAGAATTAACATAAATTAATTTAAATGGTAAGCAATTTGATATCGTTTAAGCAAAGTCTCGAGTTTTGTTATAAAATTTGGTTTACTAGAATTAACATAAATTGATTTAAGTGGTGATTTAAGTGATAAGCAATTTGATATCGTTTAAGCAAAGTCTCGAGTTTGAGTCATTATGTATGTAAAAAACCCCTATTAGGAGACTCACCCATCAAAGTAAGATATGCTACGCGGGTAGATCTGGATTAGTCAAGACAAAGTCTTGAAACTGAGAAGGCAACAAAAAAAAATTTGGTTTATTGGAGCGAAATATATATTTATTGACAACGAGAAAGAAGAGAAGGTATTCAAGTTTGAAACGATAAAAAAGACAGATAAAAAATCAAAAATGAAAAAGATATAAAGCCATAAGTGACAAATCTAAAAATTTAAAAATGAAAGGTCTAAAAATTTTAGTACTTCTTTTTCAATAAATGGCTATGCAATTATTCATTTATTTTTCAACCATTAATAAATTGAACCATATTTTATAATTTATCCAAAATAATAGATATGCACTTGGCCCTAAGTTCATGAAAGTCACATCAACCACAATAATAGGTTTGATTAGGAGTAAATATTTGGTGGATTCGGGTGAAAAATTGAGTTATTCAAATTTATAAGTATCATTTCATTGTTCAAATTTTATTTAATTTTTTCGAGTCGAATATATATAAGATTTGTAATTTTATTTAGCAAATTAAATACCCTCTAAAATTAAATAATATATTTGTAATTTTATTTTCTAAGGAGAATTTTGAGAGCAAAATATTGATGGAAAGAAAGAACATGCAAATTGGGGCAATTAGAGGATTAAATTGAATAAAATATGAAATTGACAGGCTAAATCAAAAGAGATGAAAATTATTATCATAAGAAAAAATTAAAGTTAAGGTATTCTACTATAGGTGTTAGGAGCTTGTGATTCAAATTTGGTCTGAAATAAACTTAGAATGAAAAAGGAAATAAAGAAACAATGAAATCAGAGATCAAATCACAAAACAAATAAAACGCTTAGTTAAAGAGCAAATTGGGTTGGGTGGATCGTCTTAGCCTCTGGAGTATTTGATCTGAATTAATCGGTAAATAGATCGGATACTAGTGATTAATTAAAAATATCACATTTTAATTTTTAAGTTGTTTAAACTTTATAAATTCAAACTCAGGATTTAAATCAATTTCGAATTGACTAAAAATAATTTTTTGAATCAAATCAAATTTTAACATTATCTTTATTAATAGGGGTTGGTTTAAGAGGTAAGCAGCTTCATATCGCTTAAGCAAAGTCTCAAGTTCGAGTCCTTGCGTACGTAGAAAATCTATGCTGGGAGACTCACCCATCAAAATTAGATGTGCGATACGGGTCGGTCTGAATTAATCAAGACAAAGCCATGGAACCGGGAGGTTAACATTATCTTTAAACTTGGGAGAAAACTTCAAAAAGTCGTTGTGAACAACCATGAAGGTAGATTAGGTTATGGATACTAAACCCTTGAAAGATAGATAGAATAGATTCTAAATAAAAGTGAAAGTCAAAGAAATTAATGGAAGATATTATTATCTCATTGATTGAATGCCTACTTCATAGTTTCTTGGAAAATCCAATCACTTATTCAAGGATTCGGTACTCAATTATTATTAAAAATTATAAAATGGTCCTCTAATTATAGGACATTATTTTGTTGAGTCTCACAACTATTAGAAGTTACAAAATGGTCTCCGACTATAGGATGTTGTTTTGTCGAGTCCCTCGACTATTAAAAGTTGCAAGATGATCGTTTGGTTATTCATATGTTCCAAACTCGTCATTTTCCATTAAAAATTTGACGGACGTTTGAGCTGAACGTTAACACATTGATTGTGATATGATAAAATCATACTTTAATGATGTCTACTGGAGTCGTCTTTGCTTTCAATCACTGGCTCTATGATACAATATAACCAGAGAGTCGATCCATAAAATATGACTCAAATGATTTTGGGATTAGATTTTATCATATCTCAATCAATAGGTTAACATCCAGCTCAGGTGATCGTCAATTTTTTTAACAAAAAATGATGAGTTTAGAATAAATGAATAATTGAGTAACTGTTTAATAGTCGGGGATTGAATAAACTAACACCCTATAATCGAGTGATATTTTGTAACTTTTAATAGTAGAGAGACTCGATATAATAGTACCCCTATAATTAGGGAACTATTTGTGTATTTTACCCTAAGATTTTAGGTTTAACTTTTATCATGCGTGGATTATATATTAGCTTAATAGTAGGGACGAGTCTCAAGAATTTTAAGATTTTAGGTTCAAATTTGTTATACGATAATTTTTTTAATAAGCTAAGGTGATTACAAAGTAGTATATATTCTAAATTCTCTCAATCATTTGACAATGAACGCTCAATCATCTTGCTGCAACCGTTGGTGCTCGAACCCGTGACCTATAGGAACATCAACAATTCCTTTAACCACTGAAGTAAGTTGGTTCGAAATTTAGTTCATATTTATTCTAATAAGTTATCTAGACGTAATATAACGTAGATTCTATTTTGGTTTCTATACTTTTATTTTAGGGTAAATTATATATTTAGTACCTAAACTATTAGTTTTGGTTTATTTTAGTAGCTAAACGATCAACTTTTTCAAAACCATACTTACAGTTAAGTTTTTTTTTTTTTTTTTTAGTATCCCGTCGTTAAAAACTTCAGTTTTTGTTTCATTTTAGTACTCCCGTTCAAAATTTAACGTTAAGTTTTGAACAAAATGAAACTTTAGGTACTGAAACAGACCATAACCGATAGTTTAGGTACTAAACATGTTAAGTTTTTAATGGCAATGTACTAAAATGAAATGAAAGCTAAACATTATGCATGATTTTGAAAAAAAATATAAAAATTTACGTACTAAAATGAACCAAAATTGATAATTTAAATATTAAAAGCGTAGTTTACCCTTTATTTTATTCATTAGTCACAAATATATTAAAAATAATATTTCTTTTTACCTTAATGAGACCTGACATGCAAAGAATGAGACTTTAAAGGGACTAGTCAGTGCCATGTCCACTCCGAATAATATATTAAAAACTGAAAGATTTGAAGTTAAAACAATTGTAAAATTGTTCCTTGGCTCATCAAAAAATATATATAATTCATCGTTGGCTCCTCATATATTTTGATATTTTAAATGGTTCACACTAAATATTGTGAGTTTCGCCTAGGGATGGGCATACGTTAGGTCGGGTCGGGTTTTCGATCAACCCGACCCAAAAATATAAACTCTCCAATCGGAACTCAACCTGACCC